CTTTCAGGGAAGCACCGATCGTCCCGGACATCCTTGAGAGTCTGGCTTCCAATTCCGCTGGCATTGATGAAAATGCTGGACTCGGGAAACATATGATGCAGTTCCTCAAGAGACTCGACTCGCTTGCGGATGAACTGGCCACCCAGCTCGGTGATTTTCTTACCCAGATACGGCATGTGGATCGTCGGATCGGTCACAAGAGTCTCATAGCGCCAGCCACAGCTAAACTCGGAAGGATATTCTCCTGGTTGCAGGTCACGCCACTGACGCGGGGTTAGCGAGACCAATAGCTGGGGCAGGCTAAGTGATATCTATCCTACCTTGGAGAGCACAGTTTTGCCCCAAGCTGATGAATTCTCGGAAGGAGGTTGTTCGAGGTATTCATATGAGTCGACGATGCAAACGCCCGATTCAGGTTCTTCCTGAGCCATTCGAAGCAAATGGCGGTGAGTGACGGCTTGGATATATCGATATTCGGGACTGATGCCCCCTGCTGCGTGCCATGCTGCACCCGCCCAGGCGGATGCATACCATATGCTTTGATCGCCGGGGAGATATTCTGCCACCAACACCACCCGGAAACCATTTTGCAAAAGCAGTCTCGCCGTGGCACAACCGATGATACCAGCACCAAGGATGATTACAGGACGCTGCGGGAAGGGGACATTCGAGCCACTCGAGGAATCATGGAGTTGACCCATCTTGCCCAAGGATGCGAGGATCTTGTGCACTACCATAAGTTCGTGGAGGTTTGCCTGTCCGAGCCGGCCGACATCAGCTTCGTCGGAAGTTGAGAAAGAGGTGTAGACAAGCAAGATAAGCAAGTGGAGTGTTGAAGGGGGGGACCTTCGTCAAGACGAATCCAAGGTACAGTACAACTCTATAAGAAGGGATCTCGCACCGCTTAACCACACGTGGCGAGGAGCTGTGGCGGAGCTAGCTCATGCTGAACAAATCCAAAGGAATCATAGGAGAGGGTTGGACAAAGCATATATAATCATTCGGGCAGTGTCTTTGCCGAGCAGACCCGCAAGATTATGATAACATGGCCTCATGAGAAAGGACAGTATCTCTGGTTGCGGCGGTGGGCATGCGGATCGAAGCGCCCAGATGGAGGAGTGCGACAGGCGGTTCCACCCGCCCGTCGGGTCCAGCCGCTGCTGGCAAGCACACTTTTATCCCGATCCTGCTAACAGTCGTTCCTCCTTCGCCCGCTCATGTCGATGGCTAAGACTACGCCATGCGATAGTCAATCGAGGCCTCGTCAGCAACAAAGGCATCGACAACGCTGATAGGACGTGTTGCTACAGATAGCATGCCATGCCCGCAACAGGAGGATTGCATACGCGGCCACTCCCGACAAGTGGGGGAGCTCCTATTCCACCGATTGTTCCATTTCTAGCATAGTATCTTTGGAAATAGTTCATCATGGGTAGGGTAGTTTGTTCTCCGCGAGAGACTGAAGCAGGGCAGAGTTAGCGAAGTAGGATTGTACAGAAATAGCTTAGAAACGCGTCCATGACGCTGCAACATGAAACTGCATTCGTGGCTCGCGTTTTGGAATGTCTTGCAAATCGAGTTTCCTGAACGTCCCAGGGGGGAAAAGTCTGCTCTGTCGGCTTCAAGAAGATTCTCCAGTGCGGGGATGTAAAAGTGGATTGCAGTGGGAAGAGAAGACCTGAGATTGTTGATGATGATGGCTGATTGCCTGGCGTGATATTGCATTGTTTGCATCTGCCGGCTTAGTCTGGTGATGCAGCGGGGGGCTTACCAGCTCCGGATATTTCTGCCACCGCCTAAATTGAACAGTTTCCCAGATTGTTTTTTTCTGGACTGTTCATATCAAAAATCAGCCCGGATCACTGCGAGGTTCACTAGGTTCTGCCAGGTGAGGCGGTGATCGAGGCGATCTAACAAAATTATTCTGCCCCTCTATAGTCACGTGCTCCTCCAGCATCGCATGGAGAAAGCAGTAAGTTACGTAATGCCACGGCCGGAAATCGGAGTTGTGGTCCAACCTACTCCAAAAATTTGTTTCACTCAAATACAGGATGGGATCGATTAATGTTAGAATTCCTCGGACCACATGCAAGCTAGATTTACAGGATCTCGTCCCTGGATAGCATGTCATTCAAGTGACTGGGTTACAATAAGCCGAGAATCAGGCCTGGGTACAGTACTGTCCGAAGTCAAATGATCACTTCCTTCACAGTATAACAACAGGTTTGCTGGGCCTTCTCCAATTGGGGCGAACTTGCCCACAACCACTTTGCTTGTGACCCCAACAAGAATAAGAATAAAGTGGGTTGGGGGCCTGGCCTTTTTGATGCACTTTAAAAAAGTAACTTTGAGCTTCACTCCAAAAACATAAACCTGCCTGAAGGGGAAGGCCCCGCATTCTTATTTTTTGTTGCCCCTCCCCGCGAGCCTTACTTCTTTTCTCCCTCCCTTCCTCTCTCCACGGCACGGCAGCTCGGGCTTGAAAACAACAACACTATCAGATAATAAAATATGCGATCGACATCAGAGCTGACCAACATGGTCTCCTTGAACGGAGCGCTGCCTGAACTGGCCGAGCAGCAGCCCGAGGATTCCATCCCCGAATCGCGCGTCCTCATCATCATGACCGGAGGTACCATCTGTATGCGACAGTCCCCGTCTGGTTTCGTACCTGCCCGAGGCTTCCAGGAACAGTGTCTCGCCCGAGTCCCGACCTTCAATGATGGTTCGCACACGAGCATGATGGACGTGGTGGTGAACGCCGACAAAGAGGTGAAGGGTCATCCGAGTCTGCGCACCCCCGTCACCGCATACGGGCGGCGAGTGCGATACACCGTGTTCGAGTTCGAGGAGCTGCTGGACAGTAGTTCGATCGACGCGAAGGGTTGGGCCGAAATCGCCCGCACCGTCGAGCGCAACTACACGCGGTTCGACGGATTCGTCGTGCTGCACGGCACGGACAGTCTGGCGTATACGTGCTCGGCGCTCAGCTTCATGCTGCAGAACCTCGGAAAACCGGTCGTCCTCACGGGAGCTCAGGCTCCCATGCTCGAGTTGCAGAACGACGCCACGGACAACCTTCTCGGCTCACTCGTTGTGGCGGGCCACTTCATGATCCCGGAAGTCTGTCTGTATTTCAACAATCGACTGTTCCGCGGCAACCGATCGTGCAAGGTGGCGGCCAGTGACTTCGCCGCTTTCAACTCTCCGAACTGCCCCCCGTTGGCGGTCACGACGTCGATGCGCACAAATGTTGATTGGGAGCTGGTAAATCGACCCAAGAGCCTGGATCATTTCAGCATTCAGACCAACCTCGACACCACGCACGTCGCCTGTCTGCGGATCTTCCCAGGTATCAAGCCGGAGATGGTGGACGCTGTGCTAAAGCTAGATGGACTCCGTGGGTTGGTCCTGGAGACCTTTGGTGCTGGAAATGCACCTAGCGGACAGGATAATGCCATGACAAACGTGCTGGCTGCTGCCATCAAGAGAGGGATTGTCATTGTCAATGTCACTCAATGTGAGTCTCGCTTGGTCCATAACTGCTGTGACAACGACATCTGAATCTAACACGGACAACACAGGTCTCACGGGAAGTGTCAGTCCCGTCTATGCCCCGGGTATGAGCCTGTCACGCGCGGGTGTGGTCGCAGGCCTCGACCTGACTACGGAAGCGGCGTTGACGAAGCTGGCGTATCTCCTGGCCTTGCCCGATTCCACCCCCGAATGGGTCGCGAAGAACATGTCCGTCTCTCTGCGCGGAGAACTGACCGAGGTATCGCAACCTGTTTTCCGTCACCCAGACGGTGCTCTTCCGGAGCGCGTCCAGTCTCTCACCGTGCTCGGCTACGCGATTGCCCAAGGGGATATTGAGCGGGTGAAGGAGATTGTGGTCAGGGAGCATCACTGGTTGCTCAACGATGCCGACTACTCTGGTAACACTCCGATCGTAAGTCGCCCGATTTACCATTTTTCTACTATCTACTACCAGTCGGACAAGAAAGCTGACTCTGCTTGCAGCATCTGGCAGCCACCTCCCCATCTGTCGAGATTCTCCGATACCTCCTGCTCCAGGGTGGCTCAGTACACATCCGGAACCGCAACGGCCGCACGCCATTGTTCCTGGCGGCCAACGCTGGACTGTCCGAGCACGTGCTGCTGCTTCGGAAGTCGGGAGGACACTTGCATTCGGATGAACGGACGGCAGCGCAGCTGCTCGCGCGACGACGCCCGGCGGTGTGGGGTCTAGCCGGCATCGGACCGCGGGAGATCAGCGATCGGGAGTTGGAGGAGATCGACGATGAGGGCACTTCGCTAGGACGCACGGCGGAGATTCTGATGGCTGGATCGGCGCCTTGAACATAGATAGAGACACGATCTAACTATTACAGATGTGTCATCTGGAGCTGATGCGGAGGGAAGGTCTGGGTTTGACTTTACATGTGTGAACGCCTGATACTAGATCGTCTGTGTTTATCCGGTCGCCATGCAGTTGTGACTAGAAGAAGACAGGCGAGACCTCAGTTTATACATTGCACAATACCCGATTGTGGCAGCACCAGCAATACTAATACTCTTCCCAATTCCCTCTACTCGAACCATAATCATTGTCAAGACAAATGTTGCCAAGATTTATAGCTAGCCTTTCCCAGATGAGCATAATCAACCTTTAAATGTCCAGCCCACCCCGGACTACGTTGTCGGAGACATTCCCCAGACATTCTTCCACCCAACATCTTACCCACCAACCAGACTCGGCCGAGAATACCCTCTTGACTCAACACGTACACCGCGAAACTACTACACACCTGCTCAGAAAACCAAAGACAAAGCAATAAAGCACCAGCACGATTTCAAGCACCGGCATCATCATATTTACCCACCCCCCAAAAAAAAATCTATAAATCTATAACCCACAACGCCACAAATATGCACATCATCATCGTCATACATACACAGCTCTAAATGCAAGCAAAGCCCACCGCCTGGAGCCGAACTCCTCAAGGCTTAACCAAGACACCGCGGTAGCGCATCTTGCCCTGGCGGAGGGTCTCCATGGCGTCCTCGATGCCCTCCTTGGTGAGCGGGAAGGTCATGACGGTGGGGACGATGTTCTTGCGGGCGGCGAACTCGAGCAGGGAGCGGATGCTGTTGCGGGAGGCGACGAGGGAGCCCTGGATGCGGACGCCGCGCCAGACGAGGTCGAGCATGGGGATGCGGGCGGGCTCGAAGGCGACGGTCAGCGGGTAGATGCTGCCGTGGGTGGCCATGAGGGGGATGAGCCTTTTCGATACAGTCAGTGGGATGACTCGTTAAAATAAATGGGTAGGAGGGGGACAGGCAACATACGAAGGATAATCCACCGATCCGCTCCCGCACAGCAGGAGGTGGTTGACGGGCTTGAAGCCCTCGGGGACGGGGCCGCCGGACCGGAAAACGTGGTACTCGGAGGCGCCGAACTCCATCGCCTCCTGGCGCTTGCCCTCGGAGCTGGAGAGCACGACCACGTGGCAACCCATGGCGGCGGCGAGCTTAATGGCGATGTGGCCCAACCCACCAATGCCCATGACGGCGACGCGGTCGGTGGCCTTGATGCCGTACTCGGACAGGACGGTCCAGACGGTGGCGCCGGCGCACATCAGCGGCGCGGCGTTGACGGAATCATACCCTTCCGGGATCGGGTAGACGCACTTGGCGTCCCAGATGGCGCCGTAGCTGAAGGTGCCGTTGTGAAGGTCGTGGAAGCCGTATTGCTTCTGGTTGCGGCAGTACTGGTCCCATCCTGTTGCACCTCTGGTTAGCATTTTGTTTTGGGGGGGTTGGGATCGGGCACGGAGGGTAAGCAATGCGGGAGCATACCAGTAACGCAGTTATCGCAGTTGGCGCAGACGCTGTGCGTGTATCCGAAGCCAACCCGCGCGCCAACCTTGACGTCGGTGACACCGGGTCCCACGGCCTTAACAATACCCACACCCTCGTGGCCCAGCACCTGGTCGGCCTTGAGGTAGTGCTCGTCCGTACCGCAGAGACCGGAGTGGGTGGTCTCGATGAAGACCTCGCCGTGACCGAGCTCGCTGGTCGTCTGGGCGGGCACAATCTTGCCCTCGGCGGAGCCGCGGAAGACGTCGTAGGTGAAGGAGGTCATTTTGACGGATATGAATCAAAAATGTAGAGAAATTTGGCTATAAGAGTGTAACATCCCCAGAGAGAAAAAGTGGCAGTCGGATTTATATAGAAGAATGGTTATCGGGCAGGGGTGGGTCCAGCGGGCAACCTGGGCATCAAATCGGGAGCCTCGGTTTCGCAGGGGTTGCAAAAGGGTGGGGCAAAAATTCATAAGCAACTGCTTTCTTGTCTTTGATAAAGATTTTTTTTTCTGACACGGTCAACTGTCCGTCCTCGGCGGAACAACCAGTCGGTAGAAGTCTCCGAGAATGTGTCCGTCGGTGGGATTTGGATAAACTCTCCGCCATATGAACCCTCATAACTCCTGGTTATGTTTCTTCGGGAAACATTATTCCATAATCGATCGCGGAGAGTTTTGGACGTTGAGTACATTTGTTGATGTCTTGTGGAGTGCGCACTTATCTACAGTACATACTGCACTACGTCAGAGATATGGAGGACAAGCACTATGTTAGTGAACTTAAGCTAGAGAATAGTGGCAGCCACGTTTTAACTGTAAGCAGCACTCAAGCTAAGCCACATCACATTTTTTCCTTTCTTATTTTTTCTTATCTCTCTTGGCATCCAACGGCTTGTTGTGCCGCTCACCCGGCCCCATCTCCTCATTAAGGGTTACAGGCCGAACAAATCCCGGGTTCGGTAACCCGCCGGAAGGCAAATTCTCGTTCCTCCTCTCTCTCGAGCCCCGTCACGGGTCAGATCTTGGGAAGAGGAACGGCTCATCATATGATTGGCGTTACCGCGGGATCTTAAGCCTAAAACTAGCGTGCAGGATTGTGGATCACTTCCACTGATCCTGCCGCTGGGAGTCTTCCAGAATCTTGGATGCTTCCGTTTCCAAGGCGATTATGCGCTTGCCATGTTTCATGCTACCGGGGCAGAAGCTAGGCAGGCGGAGGTCTATTTGCACTGGAGTAGACGTCTGCAAGGATTGATCAATATTTCGGATCAACGACATACCGCAGTCGGGTTTGATGAATATTAGAAGAGATCTTCATCCACGGACACCCACTGGTTCGCTTCCTTTTCAGCCCAGCTGAATTTGCGGCAATCGAAATGCCACACAAGTATGATGTACGGTCCATGCTTTGGAGACGTCAATCAAAGCCTCCTAAAGAATCCTCATAGCACTCTTTCTTAACTTCTTGGTCATCTATACCCCGTTTGAGTATCCTCGATAGCCGCGTAGGTGCCCCGTCTCGCTTTGCGAACACCTTCTCTGCCGCAGAAACAGCGCCCGTTCATGCCTAACCTCCTCGAGGACCCTGCTACCTATGTGTTGTTACATCCTTTCCTCGCTCCGTTCCTCATCGATAAACGTGCCGCCCTCCTGCCTCCTTTCTACTGTATGTATTATAACTCTATTTTCTTACTCTTGCAGCGTCTGGTACCCGACTACTCAATTGTAGATATCTTATGAATATCTCGATGAAGTCAGCGTGTAATCTTTTCAGCTGGAGTATCATCACACATATATATATAAGAACATATCCTTTTGGCGGGAGTTCAATCCCCACTTGAGACTTAGGACAGTCGTGGTAAGCAAAGTTATAGATCCAGCTCAAACAGAAGCTATACGTAGTCGAATAGAACGATTAATCTGCTTAATAATTTCTCGTCAAAGCTCTCTTCTTATGATAGCAAATTAGCAAATGATTTTTCCCCCTTTTTGGTGGCGATATATTTATCCATGCAAAGCTTTCCCCCAGCTTTCATTGGAATTTACGCATATCATGCGATAAAGCAAATGCACATCCCTAAGTGCTCTCACAGAAACATCAGTATCGTAGCGATAACATTGCCTGTCCGACTGGCAGTGGGAAAGAAAGATGAATATACCCCAGCGCGGAGAGGGGAATCCACGGACAACCGAAATGCGGTACGCACCATCCCATTTAATAAGGAGGCACAGTCATCTGCACCGGCTGAAACACAAACTTCTGCGCTTGGCTGCCATCAGCCGGGGCGGGTTTGATGGTGGAGTCCGCAGCGGTCCAGACAAGTCCATCCGCAGGGTTGCAGACCCTATATGCCCCCGCACCAGCGTCCTCGAACGTGAAGGTTGTCGGCTGCTGAGCAACAGACGCGCACGCCGTGTCATCACAGCTGATATACGAATTGATATTGGTGAAGGCGTTCTTGATGGTGGCGCCGCCGTCGACGGGGCTGATGGCCCATACGTTGAGGTAGTCGTTGGCTTGGTAGAAGCGGAGGTCCCCGGTCGCATGCAGGGTGTCGGTGGTGCCTGCGGGCTGGATTTGGTAGTACGTTACGAGGGCGGCTGAGGCTGAGTTCATGAGAGTTGCGATGAGGCCGATGGGGATTTTCATTGTGTGTGTGTGTGTGTGTGTGTGTGTGTGTGTGTGTGTGTGTGTGTGTGTGTGTGTGTGTGTGTGAGCCTTTAGGAGGGTGGGCTGCTAAGGGTGTGGCGATGGAATAGCTTTGTACAGATCGTACGGGTGTGGATTGAAAATATCAGCTGTATTCAGCATGAACAAAGAGAATCTTTGACATATTTGTACTCAGACTGGAGTAGGACATACTAGCAGTGGCGAAGGATAACGCTCGAGTTCAGAATAGCGAAGTGACGTGAACGTACATAAGAAGCACGGCCTTCGGCCACCAAGCAGAGAGAGGAAAGAGATGATCAGCTCTGCATGGTTGTGTAACATCACCTGCCCTGGTCTCACAATCACCAACAATTCATGTGACATAAAAGCATTGTTGTCTTCCTTAGGCAAGGGATGTGGCTTTGCACCAATGCCAAGAGGATATACAGCAGAAACCATGACATAATGTAAGCTTGGTGTGAGATCATCATGCTTGGAGTAATTTCACAGCACTATACTAATTAACGAACATTTATTCCCTTCTGTCTGTTCCTCGGTTGAGGCTAGTGGATTTCTGAATGTGTCTCCGTCACCCTCGAGCCCTAACCGAAGAGACTATCAGAAAATCACAATATTGCTCCTGCTCTCAAACGCCAGGCAGTCATGCCGGAGAAAGTGTTCTATGAACCGTATTGCAAAAGAATGAACTGAGCAAAACAGATATTCGAAATCTGAAGTCTTATACCCGACTAGCGACACAACAAATCACACGGGAAAATCAGGGACACAATCCGGAAGAAACCACTATCAGCAGTCACTTAAGGTCAAGTCCTCTTCATCCCCCCCGGTGCAAGTGGAGGATCCCTCAGAGTTTGGGTCCCGGAGACTATCCTTGTAGTCTGGATCCACCGAGCTATCTTCATACATCCGCGCCTCCCCGAAGATATTCCACAGGATTGATGTGATGGCGAAGTTCCTGGTTGAAGAAAAGAATTCCCAACGTTCGGTCGTGCGTTGAATCTGTAACTGTCAGCGCGGGGAGAGTAGTCTGGTGCAGACCCTTCGACTCCGACCTCCTACCTTTCTTGTGGTGTCCAGACGGAGGAACGTAAAGGTACGGCTGTTCTCATCGTGGACAAGACCGTAGACCACGGCCAGCATGTCGCAGGCCTGCCAACGGGATTTTTGAACCATGACTAGACAGTTGAGCACATCCTGGCACGTCAGATAGGGCTTTTCCTCTTGTCCTCTCACGGCGGAAAGACCTAGCGGTCTGATTCAGGAAAACACGTACGCATGTAAGCTATAGCCCGCGTCTTTGCCTGTTCAGCAAGCTTGTCAGAATCGACCTCGACCACCACCATATGGATGCGAGCGATTCCCGGGTCGCTGTACCAGAGGGTGTAGTTCGCCCGGCCCGCGAGAGTCATGTTATTGTGTTGCGCAAATGTATGCAGCAGGTCCGTGTTGCGCGCGAGATTTATCATGCCAGTCTCGACCCCCTGGACGGTGTTCACTCCGTGGGCAATCTGTAGAAGAGTCCAACCGAGCGGGCTGGATTGATCGGGGTCTGAGTGATTATAGGAGTATTCATTCATGATTTCAGAGACTTCGAGCTTGAAATCGGCTGTTATATCCATCAGTAACCCCCATATCTCTTAGCTGGAGACGGGCCGCTCTTGGGAGAAAATATCAAAATGCGATTCCCTTGTGGAGTAACCTAATTGGCACTAGATGAACGGCAACAGGAAGGGCCAGCCATTCATAGCCATCATCGCAAACCACAATCCCGAAGCTGCGTTGCAGGTCGCGATCAGTGAGGGCAAGAAGAGAGATACACTCCGACTGTTCACGGTCTCGCTGTTCTTCCATCCGGCGTATCTGGTCATCGAGGACGAGCACCTCTCTGTGCTGCGTTTCAACGAATCCCAACCCTTTCTTGAGACTTGGCAAGTGTGTGGTTGCACTTTGAATTTCTGAAGTGATCCTTTCGTTGATAGCGCTGCGTCTCCCGATCAAGTCCTGCTGGTTCCGAGTCGCAGGCACGACGGATTGTTTCTCCATACTCTCATGGGACAGAGTCGGGACAAGAAAAGATCAGGAGTACTTGCGTCCTACTATGTCGTCAGTATCCAAACGTGGGTGAAAAAGACGGTATACTCTAGGTGTATTTCTATTGCGTCGGAGAAGAATACACTCAGTTATTGGCACGCTCCTGGAAGAAAACGACTAAAACAGACGTGCCGGAAGAGGGAAAATGAACTCTATATAGGAGGGGCAGCAGTTAAGAAGATACGATCCGAATGTTGTCATCAGAATAGCTTACGGACTCAAAGGGTTTGCAAGCTTCGCCGTGATGATGTAGGGCTTACCGAGCCAGAGCAATGCCACACAGCCTCCCGCTCCTCCGAAAACCTGTCGTTCCTCCAACCTTGAGCTACTATTCCGATTCACACCAAATTCTATCAGTTCCGGATTCGTGACACACATTCTACATCTGCCATGCCGTGGAGCATCCTCCCAAAGTCAGTAACAGCATGGCTGAATCTTTGGGACGAGAGATTCTGCGAAGACGTGAGAGACTTCCACGGGGCCCAGGAAGCCCGGGCCCGACTGCATTTCCAGGGTGAAGCGGGGAAGCTCACCCACGTGGAAGCGCTGATCCGCAACGACGTCGCCTTGAACTTTGCGATCCAGCGCGGGGCGGTTCTCCAGAGCGAGCTCAAGACCCTCTCCGTATGGCTAGTGATTTCCGGGGCCGCGGATGTCACCACCGCGGAGGAAATTTACTCAAGCATCCAGACCATCGAACCCCAGTTGTCGACGCTAGAAGAGACGATCTGGCGCTTGGAGCGCAGGACCCACGAGGTCCTGAGTCGGTTCCCTGAGGGCCCGCTGGAGCGCGCGGTGAACTGCAACCGAGCCCGCTCGCACTGGCACATGGCCCCGCTACTCAAGGAGGACTGCGCTGGCCGCGACGGGTGCTGCACGCGCAAGTGCAGATGCTGCGCCAAGCCAAGAAGCACGGCCCGTGCAAAGCAGGGCCACTGTACGTCCGCTTGCGCGTGATGCGAGCGTGCTCGCGGGTGTGCGGTGGGACGAGAGGTGAGCTGGGAGCCGACTCGCATCGTCTTTGCCGGCTTGGGCGACCACCGAGATCATATGCAGCGCCTCATGCTGGCCTATTGCTTCGGGCTGCGTGGGACACGGCGTTACAACAATGTATGATGCAAGTATTGATTCCTTTGAGGGTGAAGGGAGGGACAGCTTGGTCTCTATTGCTGTGGGTGAAACGAGCTTCGAGAAAAGTGGGCGATGTTTGTGGCCTTGCGTTGGGCGCTTTCTTGCTCTGGTTATGGCGGCCATTACTATTGCTGGCTGATAGACATTTTCAACGTTCGGATAAATATGGTGGTGTGTTTGAGGGGTTGCTGTTGACTTCCCGCTATATCGCTCTCACTGCTCCCCTAGTCCTTTAGGGCCTTCGCAAATCTTATCCTATGGGGTATTACTCTTTCCATGTCGTAACTGATCAACAGGGAAAACTCAAGGATTTGCTGAGGAGAATGGATCTGCTTTGGGAGATCCAGATGCGGTCAGGTTTACATGTGCTCACGTGCTTTATAGTTGATGGCTCAGTAGGCAGTTCGAGAACACATCATCATCTTCAATGCGATCCTCTTTGTTCGCTCCAATGTACAATGATGACAGAGATAGAGTTCTAGCAGTCTGTAGTTCATGTAACAGTGACCGTATTCAACACTAAGTCGAGGAGAGATGAATGAATAAGACGTTAATCCCAAACTGAAGACCGGGAACAGGGTACGAGAATGAGCCGGTGGGAATGGTGATTATGTGTTTGTATATACAAACGGGACAGACGCTGGAGCGCCGGCCTGGGAAATAGGATACTGGGATGAATTTTCTACTGTCCAAACAGTCACACTGTCTAATCGGTGCAACTACAGCGAACAACCTCTTACCCACTTCGAAATAATAGCTTGTTCAAGCAGCCACCAGTTGAAGATAATACGACACGATATCCACGACCTGCTCTTCGAACGAGCGGAACTTGTTCCCCAACAGCGTCTCCGACGTGCTCGTGTCCAAAGGAATGGGAATTGACTGAATCTGCCCGTTGTTCGGCAGCAGGCCCGACTCGACCTCTTCTCCGAACCTGCGCGCGGTGATCTCAAGACTGTCCTGCCAATCGGTTCCCTGCACCCCTCCCGAAGAGAGGATGAAGCCCTGATTCCCCGGGACAATGGGGTCGAGGCAGCGGACGTGCGCGTCGGCGACATCATCCACATGGACCGCAGCATTGGGAGTGCATCTGTCCTTGGCCCCGTAGGCCACCGGCCCCAGCACCTCCTGGTTGGATGGGCGCATCAGATCGGCTGGGGTATGGGCAAGTTCATCCCGTCCGATCACAAAACCGGGGAACAGATGAATTACGTCGAAAGACGGTCGGGTCGTCGCCAACCACTGCTCTGCCTCGTTCAATGCGGCCACCTTACTTGCCGCATAGGCTTCGAAGGCGGAGCTGTACTTGTAGTCCGCGGGGTGAGTTGGAACGCGACTGTTGGCGTCGAACACCCTCCCGACGCCGCCACCAGACACCACGAACGACCACGGCACGATCGCCGCGCCGGACGAGGTGATCACAACTCGTCGGACGGTGCCGGCCTTGTGCGCGGCCGTCAACAGCCCCAGGGTGCCGCGGACCGCCGGGTCGATGAAGTGCTCGACCAGGCGGGCATTACTGGCAGTGTCTTGATCGAGGTTATTCAGCTGGGTTTGTTGCGGGATCGGCGAGGCCACGTGGATGGCATACTGCGCGCCTTGGATCGCCTGGTCGTAGGCCCCCTCAGCGGTCAGATCCGGCACCTGCACGAACGACAGCCGGTCGTCGCCGGGCTGAAGAGCCTGGATGGAAGGCGTGGCCAGGATCTGCCGGGCCTTGTCGGGGCTCCGCACCGCAGCCCGCACGCGGTAGCCGGCCTCGAGCGCCCGCACAAGCACGCGAAACCCGACGTGACCGCTGCCTCCGGTGATGAAAACGAGTTCTCCGGTCATTATAGGTCTAATGTGGTGTACTTTAAGTCTGGTGTCATGTTCCCGGTGTTTCAGATGTGTCTCTCCTGGCGTGCATTGCGGGATTTATAGGCAGTGCGGACCGGTCTCCGTCATTGAATCTGTCATCCGTAGTCAATATCCTCCTGTACCATGGATACTGAATCTCGAATACGATCACCCCCGAGCTGGGTTGATATTTTTGATTCGCGGCCAGGTTACCTGAACCAGGGGTGCGGGCGTTCGTAATTGGGGTTGATCTTGCGGAACGAGACCGGGACAGGCCGGAGATGGGAATTAATACGAGACGCCGGATTCGACTACGAAACACAGGCAAATCTTATTCAAGTATGGCAATTTCCTTCGTCTTGTCATCCTCTCCCACAGTGCGTCCGGCAGCACGGCTTAAATCCTAATCTGTCGATATCCCTGTCACCACTCCCGGCGGGTGGAAACTGAAGACATCTCACCGTCGATTGCACATCGGTGCTATATCCCAAGAATCTCGGTTCCTCTCAATGTTCAACCAGTACCACCGCAACACAAGAAACCGGCTGAAGCTTTGACTGGGAGTGTCTTCAATTCTCCGCTGAGCGGCGGCGTCGAACTATAAATCCTCTAAGTTCTGTCTGACGACCAATTCCTAGATGTTCGGCATTCTATACTATATTTAACCACTGATTTGTCAAATGATTCGTGGGATAACTACCGAGCACGGGATAGCAAATGTCGGGAAACCGACAGGACGCTGGCCAACCTTGCCTTTGGGGTTCAATTTTAGGACACGATAACATGCGGGAAACAGCAGTTAAGCTAACTCACCAGTCAAAACCTGCCAGCTGATCAATGACTTCTTGTGAGCCACGTCCCTTGCCAAGAGGAGGCGGTGGTCCTCAGGCTTTCCAGAATATCAGTCTCATCTGGTCTTCAATTATACCCACCGGCATATGGCTCAAACACGGAATTCAATGCTGAATATACCTCGTTCAATCTCTTCAACATTTTGTCTCCCAATAATTGCATCCGAGGGATACGATGGATAAGAAGATATTCTTGAGCGATACTAGGCAATGCTTCCTTCGGTACGGATAGGGGCAGGGTGTCAACAGGCTCTTGGGCACGAAAGACTACGGGATCCCACAAAGCCGTCATAAGGTTTTCTGAAAGGCTGCAATTCACTTCCCAAAGAGGACTTCCACTAAATCATCTAATCCTCGGCGTGTGTTCTTTCGGCAAAAAGCGAGATAAATATGCTCGGGAACGCGTGATTTCACCTTAGATGCCGAGTCACCACGTAATCGACTCGGTATACGATCTGCGGGATCTTATTTGCGTGGAGTTTGAATGAGTCCATTCCCATTTGGCTTATGTAACTAGGGTTTGATCTCACCATTTAATGTTAAAGCTGTTAGTGCCTTGGAATCATTCATACGGTGGGACCTATGAGCCTATGCATCAAGTTGCTCATGGCAGGGTAACAATATTGTGAAATACAAGGTAATCAGGTCTCATAGCCAACAAGAAGTCGAAGGTCAGACAGCTTGCCACGCAACTGACCTGCCCCTCTTTGACAACGAGTAAGTTATCTCATATCCCCAGTAAGCCCGTGATCCAACACAGTGCTTTCTCAACTTACCAAGCTGTTTGATCTACCCCTCAAACTGCTATTATCCAACTTGTACAAGAATTCCATCATAGGACTATAACTCTCAAACTATTGTGCTATATTTCATTTTCTCAAATCAACTGTAACGGTATATATACTACTTAAGAAATAAACTCGTACCTTAGTTAGGTATTTCGCTCAAAATACCAATCACTAATAACAGAAGATCGAAACCTTCACCTAGGAAGGAGTTCCTTAGGCAGATCTCAATCGTGTTACCATAGGGGCAGGTATATAGGCAGTTCGAATAATCATGAAAATATGAAAACCAACCCTTCATAACATCTATCTTGAATGAACAGGTACGACCGAGACAGACCAAGTATGATTAGCTTTTCCATTTGCACATCTCTTCATTCCGATTATATCGCTGGATTTCAAGTACTACTACACAAAAAATGCTTAGCTACCCAGCTTCGGGTTAAGGTCGCATACACTATGACAAGAGACTCCCAGTTACAATTACTACAGCGTAGAATCGCTCTCAAGAGAGACAATGCTCCACATAAATACTTATAGCCTAAACAATGCATGGGCGGGGTATTATAGTCTATATTTATATAGCAAAGGCAAAACAAAAGAGATTCGGGAAGTTGACCAAGTAGTATACACAGGGACGATTCACTCCACCCGCACCTCCACCTCCATCACCTTCTGAATCTGCAGCTGGCATCCACCCGCCTCGCAGCCGGGGATCTCCCCCTGCTGCTCCCCTATCCGGCCCTTAGGCGGGGAGGAAGCCATCACTGCTGCCCCGTGAGGAGCAGCGGGTCCGTCACCGTGTCGCCCTCCGCTTGCTCTTCTCTCGTGACTCTCCAGCGAACTACTGTCCCCGCTACTATGCTCGATCGTCGTCGTCACCATCACCGCGTTATCCCACGGCCTCTCCTGATACTCTCGAGGGTGTTGGTTGCGATGGCCCAGCTCCAGGAACTCCCCGGCCTGGTCGTCCGTCTCGGAGGGCAGCATGCGGCTCTGGTTGCGCTGCGTGCGGCGGACCCCGCTCATCAGTCCGTACGAGCGCGAATGGTTGTTCAGCGTCTGGCTGCCCGAGACGCCCGCGGTGCGCTTGCGGCGGCGGGTCCGGTAGCTGGAGGAGAGGGTGGAGGCGAAGGCGTGGAAGTAGGGGCCGTAGGTTGGGATGCAGGCGATGATTACCTGGTCGTTCCGTTAGTCACCAGTACCGTTTTTGGGAGATAAAGCCGTAGGGGAGTGAGGGTTCCGGTAGGCACTATGTAGGGCATGGTAGCAACCGGGTTCAGGCGAGCATACTCCCAGACTGATCTCCACGTCCGACCACAGGACAATCGGCTGGCTGTCCGTGTAGGTCTTGAGGTTCTTGATGGTGAAGATGCGGATGATTTGGATGATGGTGATGAAGAAGCCGAGGGCGAAGATACCAATTAGGGCTACCTGGTGTTTTGATCGGAGAGTCAGCGTCGAGCGACCGACAGGGTTGCATGTGGGACGGGGAATTCAAGAACCTTCTGTGAATGGCGGAGTTGTAAGGTCCAGAGGACTGGGAGAGGGAGAGCGATGATCACGATATCGAAGCCGAGGCTTGTTCCTGTATGATGGGGATATGGTTATGGACTTGTTCTGGGGAGGGGAGCGGGATGTTCTGTACCTGCCAAGGCTGTTGTTTCTGTCAGTTTCCTCATGCTCATCGTCTTACAGTTACGGGTCTTTGCCTACCGTAGTATGAAGCTACCGTGTCAATGCATGTTCCAGGAATACTCGAGTCCCATTGCTTTGCAACCTAATCCCTTGTCAGAGAATAACTACCAGACGGATAGGAAGGCATTTGGTGTGGCACTGACCGGCTGACAGGCCAGAGTCAAGAGGAGTGTAAAGACCAGCTGGTTGCATGTCACCGCGCCGGTTACGGCGATGATGACCCATCGGTATGCGGCCACGAACCCTCCAACTCGCAGGTAGGAGGTCAAGAGCGAGACTTTGAAGGAGAGGAGCGCAAGGATGTATAATGGACCGCCAGCGTATTGAATCTGAGCCAGTCAGTCACTCACTGTTACGAATTGCCACCTGCTCATGGCAGGTAGAAAATACCAACCTTACTGAACATCACCACATTGGCATCCGGAAAAGATGCTGCGTCTAATCCAAGACCATACCGTGTCTCTAAGCAGTGAAATTGACTGTCAGTTCTCATCAAGCAGGGCTTACATCCGGATGAAGAAGAAAAACGTACGAGCCACCGCAACCCCGGCATAGCCTAACCCCAACAACGCACTGCAAATCGCCGCATAGTCATCGAGCCAGAGGTCGCGTTTGGTGTGCAACCGGATATGAAGCCGTAACAGCACGGCCAGCAGGGCACTGATGCTGAAGGTCAAGCAGATCGCGATGACCCGGGCAACGTGGCTGTGGGGATCCGGGTGGGCGAGGTTATGGACCCAGGGCATGGCATTCCTGTTAATGGGGCAGACAGGGGTGATGAAGAATCGACAACCAGGATCTTGTAGATAGTGCAATGCACATCGATCTCACCAGAGAAACATCATGCAAGATGGGAAGACCCGGACCCTGGGAAACAATCACCTGTTCTTTTTTTTCTCTTCTTTTTTTCCCAGTGTTAATGTTGCTTGAGAATTTCTCGGTTGCTTCAGCCTAGCAATCGGCACATTCGGAACCCCCCTCCTGTCTACGGAATCGATTAATATGCACGAAGTCAAATCCAAGACATTGGCAGCATTGGCAGCGTACTATTTCCGAGACGATTTACGCCATCGTGCATTCAAGTGAGACTAAGGCAGTACTAACACCGCGACTAACGTGCGCCGTTGTGGGGCGCCAGCACGGGGGAACCGGACCGCGCATCGCTGCAGCGGGGGCACTGTCCAGTCGGTCAATGAACAGGGAGACTAAGAGTTTAAGCGAGATGGTTCGAGATTGAATGTAGATTAACTGTTGGTCTTTAACAAGGATAGTTGGGATAGTCTAGGCAACCAGCCGACTTTTCCGACTATGAAGAGAAATTGACAAAAAGGCAATGGCCTGATAGCAATCATACTCCTAGCCCTAGCTCAAGCATACCCAATCTGCTGCATAAGTTACTAACGGAGTAGATGTAGGAACAGGTAAGGGGGTGTCCCACTTGGTGTCATGTTCGACAGCCAAGCCTCGGGAACGTCGGCATATAAATTGGCCTTGTCCTCCCCCCCTGTCGCTCACTGGAAGATCGTCTCCAAACAGAGCCAGGTCATCTACCAATCGTCATGCCCTCTGCCACCTTCTGGACCAGCTTGCTGGCCCTCACGGCCGCCGCTACGGCGAGCCCCCGCAGTCCCAGGAGCACCAGCAATTCCACCAGCTGCCGCTGCTTCCCGGGCGATGCGTGCTGGCCTTCCACCAGTGAATGGGCCAAGTTAAACCAGACGGTGGACGGCCGTCTGATCAAGACCATTCCCCTCGGCAAGCCCTGCCACGCGCCCAACTACGATGCCGCTGTCTGCGATGTCCTCAAGGAGGAATGGACGGAGCCTGAGCTCCAGTAAGCCACTACACCTTTGACTTCACCCCCCCAGCCCCTTGCGTCTCTCATCGGCTCCCCCTTACTGATCCGTGCGACGCGACCCACAGTTACCAATCCAGCAGCTCGATCATGGCCCCATGGTTCACCAACGGCACCTGCGACCCGTTCCACCCGGTCTCCAAGCCGTGCACGATGGGCGACTATATCCACTACGCCGTGAACGTGTCGACGCCGGCCCATATCTCGGCCACGTTGAAGTTCGCCCACGAGCATAATATCCGTCTGGTGATCCGCAACACTGGCCATGACTACAACGGAAAATCCACCGGTGCCGGCGGGCTGGGCGTCTGGACGCACAACCTGAAGTCGCGGACGCTGGTGGACTACAACTCGACCCACTACACCGGACCGGCTGTGCGGCTGGGGTCGGGTGTCCAGGGCTTCGAGGCGTACGAGTTTGCCGATGAGCACGGCTACCAGGTCGTAGGCGGCGAGTGCTCGTCCGTGGGTATCGCGGGCGGCTACTCGCAGGGTGGCGGCCACTCGGCGCTGTCCTCCAAGTACGGCATGGCGGCGGACCAGGTACTGGCCTGGGAGGTGGTCACGGGCGCCGGAGAGTTCGTGACTGCCACGCGCGACAACGAGTACAAGGACCTGTACTGGGCGCTGAGTGGCGGCGGCGGTGGCACGTACGGCGTGGTCGTGGCCATGACCTCCAAGCTGCACACCTCGACCCCGACCTCGGGCCTGAACCTGACCTTCACCAACGAGGGGATCTCCCAGGACACCTTCTTTGAGGCGGTGACCCTCTACCACACGCTGCTGCCCAGCATCGTCGACGCCGGCGTCATGAGCATCTGGTACTTCACCAACACGACCTTCTACATCTCCCCGCTGACGGGACCGGGCGTCCCCGTCGCCACACTCCGCGCGCTGGTCGAGCCCTTCGAAGCCGGCCTCACCAACCTGGGAATCCAGTACACCCTCACCGCGAAGGAGTTCGACACCTACCTAGAGCAGTTCAACACGATGGAAGCGGAGATCGCGGTGGGCAAGGCGCAGTACGGCGGGTGGCTGATCCCGCGCGACGTCGTCGTGCAGAACACAACCGCACTGACGGATGCGTACCGCGCCATCGTCGAGGACGGGGCGACCTTCATCGGGGTCGGGCTGAACGTCAACCGCAGCGTGGCCGGCGACGTCGACAACGCGGTCCTGCCGGCCTGGCGCGAGGCCCTGATCGACACCACCCTGACCACCCCCTGGGAGTGGGACGCGCGCGCCGCCATGATCGAGGAGCAGGACAAGATGACCAAGGACTACATCCCGCGGCTGCAGGCCCTGGCCCCCAACTCCGGCGCCTACATGAACGAGGGCAACTTCCAGCAGCCCGACTGGCAGAAGGCCTTCTACGGCGTCAACTATGACCGTCTGCTGCAGATCAAGGACAAGTACGACCCCTACGGATTGTTCTACGCGCGCACCGCCGTCGGTGCGGACGCGTGGACTGAGTCCGCGGATGGGCGGTTGTGTCGGGCTTAGTGCTTTTGTATTTATGTAGGGCTCGAGGGGAAGTCTCGTGGCGATGTATTTCTAGATAGATTAATAGAGTCAGGATGTTTTATGTGTTGAACCACGGGGAGATTCCACGACCTACACATTAGGTATAATGCTTACACCGGTGGAGTTTCGAGCCACAGAGTATGTGATTAACGAGAGGGGGCGTGTTTAGTCACTTATCTCGAAAGCCGTGCTCCACCCTAGACGGGATAATTATAATTGTTCACCGAGGAATAAACAACACTATTGTTGCAAACAATACTACATAAGCCGAGCCACCCTAAGTCCTAGCACATACGACCACAGGGTGTGGAAAATAGGGCTTCCCGTCCGCTCAGCCGTACTCAAGCCACACGCCGGGAGGTTAGTAGTTGGGTGGGTGACCACCAGCGAATCCCTTCTGTTGTATGTTTTTTGCACTGGTCACTGTATTTCAATCTCTCTCTTTGTTTAGCATGCATGCATGGATATTGAATCGCTCTTTGTTTGGGAAAACCCAAGACGACGGATCGACTGTTGGTCTCTGCATTCTCGGAACGCTCAAATTGCTTGGAAGGATCAGCACTCCCCGGTACGCGATAACGGGCCCTGAGGTATTCACCACTTATTCTTGGAGTCTATCGTTGTGCTTAGGAAAAAGAGAAGATAGTAGGTATCTAAAATGGCTCATAGGTGCCATGATAGGGAAGACGAAAGACGAATAGCTGTACTGTTGTAGATAGTGAATAAGAAAAAGAAAATGCTTCTCTGTTGTGTGCACAGATTGAAAAGTCCGACCGGAACAACGTGAGTTTCGCTGTACTAGAAGATGGCATCTGCCCCTGACGCCAGTGTATATGATATAGATGCAATGAAAACATAATCCCTCCCGAAGCGCAGCCACCGCCTAGAAGCCCAATTGAGAAAAACTGTAGTCCGTTCTTTCTAGTGGGAGACAAGAATGAAATGCGAGCCTTAACTTAGTTCCGAATATCAATAAACGCCCCGTCATGACGTCTTGTTGTAACATAACATAATCAATATGCCCGAGATGATCTCGCAGAGCCATGCCTTGCAAGCTAAAAGGAAACAAAAGGAAGAGAAAAAGAACGAAGAAATGAACATCAACACTTTATACATGATTTTCAACCCGGGTTCAGTCTGTCGTTTAGTAGTATTGTAAAATCATAGGCCGTGCACAGGCACAGACAGCCCCCTCATCAGGTCGTGAACATCAGCCTCAAGCGACTGGACCGCTTCGGCTTCTCCTTGGGCTTCTTGGCCTCCGATTTAGACGAGGTGTGATGCGACGAAGGCGCTTTAGAGCCGACATACGACTCCGGGGGCCGGTGGTCGGCCCGCGATCTGCCGCTGCTGTCGCCGTGGTGGTGCGACCGCGACCGCCGCGACCGCCGCGAGGAGGCCATCGAGCGTTCCTCGTCGTCATCGAACTTGAAGCGCGGGTCCCGGGTCATCCGCGCCGTCGTGACATCAATCCCCGACATCATGGCGGCGGTCGGGGTGATGAACTCGCCATCCACCGAAGTGCCGGCGCTCTCGGCCTCGGCGTCGGCCACCCCGCGGCGCCACATCTCGACGCTGCTCAGGCAGTCCGTGTTGAGCTCCATCATGTCCTCCATGCTGGGGTCGTTCATTGCCCCGTCTCGGGGGTATTGCTGTGGGTATGGTTGTTGCTGTGGGGCTGCTTCAATCACGGGGGTCTTGGACGTGGATGATTGGATCTGCTTGATGATCTTGTAGCCGCCGAACATGACGATCGTCACCCCCAGCCCCACCCCGGCCGCGATGAGGAACTGCGGGCTCGCAAGGAGCGCGAACACGCTAGGTGCGGCGGCTTTAAGCGCCCCTAGCGCCGAGGGGGCCAGTTTGGTGACCAGATTGCTAATCTCGGCCAGCGTGAGCGCGACAGCCGCCATGGAGTCCGGGTTTTTTTGGAGATGGGCGATGGTCGCAGTGGCCGTGTGCTGCATGCAGTCGGCCTCCTCGAGGAGCCACTGCGCGCGGGTGACGAGACCGTTCAATTCCGGGTCTTCGATCCGTTGGAGTTGGCCTTGTTGGTGTGGGACCAGCTCGCCCTGGCGGGGCTGCTGCTGCTGTTCCAGTGCGGAAGGGTGAAACTCGCCGTAGGCCAGGTCCATATCCACATGGGAGGGGTGGTCGGACCGGGAGCGGACCGGAACCGGCCGTTCCATCTCCCGCACGCCCACATCGTGGTGTGTGTGTCGTCGCACCATTTCTCGGGGCTGGTTGTAGTAATCGTCAACTTCGTAGTCTTCCTCGTACAGGGACCCCCCGCGGGGGTGATGGCTGCGACTGCGGCCCGAGTAGTGTCGCGAATGACTGCGCCGCGATGATGCAACGGACGGCGCCGCGTCGTACTGATAGTGCTGGTCACCTCCGTCAATGTGGTAGTTCTGTAACGCCCTCAGGGCTTCCCTCTCCGCGATCTTGGCATTCCGCTCGGACTGCACTTGGGCTTTGCGTTCCCGATAGGCATTCTTGGCTTGGCTGAATACCCCGAAGAGGTGTTTACTCTGTGACCCCCGCAGGAGAAGAGGTCAGTCCCTTATCGCGATTGATTGTGGAGAAGCAAGCGCATACGTACCGTGCTAACCACCTTCCCGGACTTATCAATCACCGCGATAGTCTCGCCCAACGGGGCCATGGTTGGGAGTGTGCTTCAACTCCGGGACTGTTGTGTGAAGGCGAATGGGATTCCCGTACGACTGGGTTGAGTCAATGAAGAAGCAACTCCCAGTTCGACATCCAATTCTGGCCGAACCTCCAACTTTTAATGATGAACGGGGATCCGGCAAAAAGGGGCGGGGGAATGGACGTCAGACGAGCGGTGTAGCGCAAGACTAGTTGATAGTGTCTTGATAGTTGGGATCCTCAGTGGGGTTGGAATTTCTTTGGCCCCGATCTTGGCTTGGATTGTGGGTATCACTGAGGGCACTGAGTTGGGATTAGGGTGAGGTAGGCGTGGTGTCGGTTTGGTTATATGGTAGCAGGAATAGTTGCTAGGTAGTGGTGAATGGCGAGGTATACCTTTGATGGCAAAACATCAACAAAGACAGCTGAGTCTGCACAGGCCAGTCCAGCTGGTGAGGGGGATGGGATGATGATCACGAGCAACGGCAAAGCCCTCGCAGACCCGATAAGCGGCGGCAAGCGGCGGGATCGAAATGCAGTTTAAGGCGCTAGGAGGTAGTACGGAGCAAACGAGAAATCACGCCACCCAAAGGAGTTAATTCGCGACCGATAGGCAGAGCAAAGCAGAGATACTCAAGGCAACCATATAGGAAAGTTTGAACAGGATTACAGAAAAGTGAATCCGAGGGGGCTGGGACGGAATTTAAAATCATAGGACGCAATGACCCCAGGCGGCGCCTAGGGGATGGGCATAAAGCAACGAACGGGAGCAGCGATCACCGCATCCCTCTACCCGGCGGTTGGGTGCCGATGAAGCCAAGAGCAAGGCAGCAGGCGGGTTGCAAAATAGGCTTGAATGGCTGCATGGATCGCTGGGGGGGAGAGTGTTGTCAGTGTTGTCACTGCCTAAGGTTGACTGACGTGTGGATGGAGAAAATCAGGGCCATGTCATCCGGAGTGTCAGTGCTGTGGCTCCATCCGAGGTTCATTGTACCGGTACCTGACGTGGAGGGGAGTTTGCTGTCTGGTCGAAGTACCACGTTGTACTGGACTATTCAAAGTGTGCTGACGTCTGGACATGGTGGATGGATTGTAACCGATGGGTGAGATCAATGGATTCAATAAGTGTATCCTAACAACCTGCTTCTCTACTCAACTCCACTGTTACTGCTATCTCGATGCTGAGAAATCTCCTGTTCCATGATGGAAGCTGGGAAGTGATGCGACCGGACTAGGGAGGGCTAAGAGCGCTAGACAGGGACTAGAAGGAAGAATTTCGTCGCCTTGCGAACCCCTCTTCTAGCTTCCTGCCTGAGGGCCAGGTCAGAATGGCGGTGATGCACTGGCCGCCCATTGGTCTGCTCACCCACCGCCACAGTGGCTGAGATTGAGATTATCATGTGGCGGTGTTTGCTTCTGCATGGTTGGCCTGTCGGGATCGCCGCACCTGCGCTTCTATACTGTAAGGTGGTAGATCCTAGCGAGCCGGGCTGTATACCTAGTAGCAATTCAAGTTGTCTATCGATTTATACTGCGAATAGGACTTTGAGATTTGAGGACGTAGGCTGTGGTATTACTTAGACCGGGAAAAGTCACTGAGCACGTATTGTCGCTAAGTTGGCAGAGACAAAAAGCAAAAGTTAGAGGAGGGGAAAGAGATCGGAGCAGACACCGTCGCCGGGTTGCGCAAGAAGGAAAAGGAACGAATCGCCCGGAAGAATTTCCTGACCCCACCGGAAACTGGAATATTTCCCACCGCCTTCCCAAAAAGTATATTTGCTGCCATGAGTATCTTATCTGAGGCCTGGAATGTCATCCAGCCTGGCGGCACGCTTACCGCCATGGATAGTCCGACCACCGGGGGTCTTCACACCAAACCTCTCTTTCAATTACGCTTCGATTGACGCTCTTACCGTTCCTCTAAATAACTGTGGTGATAGGATGGTAGTATCGTGACGAGTGGCTGCGCTGGACCCAAAGTCGCTGCAGAACCCATGTCGTCGCTGCATGGATCGGTGTTAAATATATCGATCACGTAGTCGGTACTTAACACTACTTTAAACCAACAGGTCAACTGCGAAAACCAAAACGAAAGAAGATTTTAAAACATACATAAGTAGAAGTAGCCGAGCGCACGGAAGTACATCCTTATGCTGAAATGAGTTTTGATATCCGCCTGGAAGAAACATAGTACAGTACAACAACAGTCAGAGCGCGGCGTCGCAAGAATCGAAAGGAAGAAAGACACTTCGAAACTGGTTTTTCCTTTACCGCCTTCCCATACCAGACTTACTGCCACCCACTTCCTTGGGGAAGTTCCCACCACTGTACGATTCCCTGGGTTTCATCATCTACGGAGTACTCAGCAGCTCTTGAGTTCGCAACGAAACAAACCCCCCCCCCCCTCACTTCCCAATTTCCATGTAACGCTCCCGCCCTCCTCCCAGGGAGGCGATCATGGGCGATCAGTCCGCCCACTCAGATCCCCGACCAGCGAAGGGAATCGATGTCCGACCGTAATTATTGCGATCAGATAAGATGTCAGAAGGAGCGCGTTATTAGTATATGTACAACTCGTATACAAGACACCATTTTCAACCCAATAGGGACCACACGGCTGATTACACAATAACGAAAGTCATACCATTAAATATATCAATACTACATAATTTTCACGCACATATTGACCGCATAAAGTGCACAGCATCTAATCACGATACTCAGCCCCCTGCCCAGCCTGCCCACTCCCGTCCGCCTGGGCCTCGGGCTTCTTCACAAACTTCAGGTCTGACAACCCATAGAGCGCGATCGACCCCATGCCCAGGAAAGCGCTCAACACCGTGAACACCATCGACACAATACCGCGCGTGGTAAAGCCATCCGGAATCCATCCCGGCTGTTTGTTCTGACCCTTCAGATCGAGGTAATCCTCCGTGTTGGCGGCCGCGTTGCCCACATAGGGAATCCCCGAGGCGTTGCACGCGGCATAATGGTCCTCGGGGATAGTCAGCTTCTCCTGGAGGAGGAGGGGCGCCTCGACGAAGGTCATGGCCAGGCCCTGCATCAGATGCCAGTCGATGTGGCAGTGGAAGAACCAGACACCGGGGTTGTCGGCGCGGAAGCGCAGCACGACGTAGCCCTCGGGCGGTACGACGATGACGTCGCGGCGGGGCGGGTAGGCCGGGTAGGCGGAGTGGTTGTTGGCGTCAAACGGTTGGGGGATGCCGGCGTCGGCGAACTCGAAGAAGTCCGGGCCGTAGGACGGGTATCGGTCGATGACTTGGAAGTTGTGACCGTGCAGGTGGAAGGGATGCGAGCCCGTGTCGTTGTTGTTCAGGATGATCTCGACGATGTCGTTGTGGTCCAGCACGTAGGTGTGTGTGTAGTCGCCGTAGACGGTGGCGTCGGTGGCCAGGTCGCCCGCGGACATGACGGTGTACAACGTCGGGACTTTGGGAGCAGTGTAGCTGATCTCGTTGAGGAAGGCGTAGCCCTCGCCGTTGTCGAGGTTGTCCATGACTATCGCCACGTTGATCGAGACGGTCGGGTTCTCCAGCAGGGCCATGTGGTCGTAGGGCACGAGCGTGGCGTCGTCGAAGGGGTTGAGGTCCGACGACTCGGCGACTGTGATGTTGGCTTGCGGGTGGGTGGCGGAGGAGTCGTATTCGAGCCAATTGGTGTTGTTGAGCTGCAGGTCCGGCGTGATGGTGTCCAGCAGCGTGGAATCCACCACCGTGACGATGGCGTAGTTCTTGGTGGCCGTATCCTTGGTGGTGAGCAGCACGCTGTATCGCTGTCCCACGGCAAGGTAGAGCATGTCCGCTTCCGTGGGCTCCGTGTAGACACCATCGATCTCCACAATCTTGAAGGTATGGTCCTCAATGTAGAAATACTGGGCTGTGAAGGCTGCAATATTGACCAGTCGGAGCAGGTATGTTGTGTTGGGCTTCACGGACAGGCTCAGATCCTGGGTGTCGTTGAAGAGCCAGGAGTTCGGGATGGGCTCCGCGCCGGTCGGATTGTACAGCGACATGAACTCGGGCTTGATGTCCTCGGCCAGCTCATGGTACCAGTCACTCAAGGTCACCGTGAACTCCTCGTCGTACTCATCGGCGAAGTAGGAGTTGTTGTCGTGGATGATCAGTGCCTGTCGGTAACCATCAGGGTAGCAGTAATCGGTGTGGCAGTGGTACCAGTATGTCCCGTTCTGGTTGACGGTGAAGTTGTAGGTAATGCTGGACCCGGGCGCGACAGGACACTGGGTGACCATCGAGGGCCCGTCCATATCGTTGGTCCCGTTCTGGTACATTCCGTGGAAGTGAATACTGGTGCTCTTGTCACCGAGTCCGTTGTACATGTTCACAACGAGTTGATCGCCCTTATCGACCTCGATGACAGGCAACGGCCACTGCCCGTTGATACCTACCACCTTTCGGTCGGCTAATCCATCGGGATTGGCTGTCACCCAGGTGACATTGAAGTCGTAGACAACTTCTTTGGCCAGCAGAGGCTTGCTGAACACCAGCACCAGCAAATAGCAAAGATAGGGTAACATCTTTACTAGAGGGAGGGAGAAGACGGTGGGAAAGAAGGGGGGGGAGGATGACAGACTCCTGGGAGAAGAGAGCAACACGATCTATGGTGGTTCCGGTGTACTTGCTTTATACGGGGGCGCACGCCGCGGGAATTTTCTTTCTCGCTTGGCGCATCAACTAGTGGTAACAAGGATGGAGGAAGTTGGGTGGGTGGTAAATTTGTTTTTCGATACGGACTGCCCCCCATCCCGACCATATCAGATGGTGGTGGGTCTTGGAATGATTGGCCAAGGGATGATAAGATTGGGCTCGGTGCTTAACGGGTCTTGGACAGTGGATCCCCCCGAACCGGAACAGGGTTAACCTTGCGAGGCAAAGGCGTCGAATGATCAGATAAGATGTCTCTCCGAAATACGGTTGAGAAACTAGGGTGGGAAAAATTGGGCCGACTCTCGCCAGAAATTGCCGCTGCGAGCAAGCAAGGGAGGGGCAACCGACAGGGGGGGTGCATTCCCACGAAGCCGTTATATAGTCCCCGTCGGAGACCTGCGTTTGCATTTGCGTTCTCAGGGTTCCCAAACCTCGACTCAAGTTTTCCCCGTGCGAACTTTCTTCGCCCGCAGTCGCCCATCATGGTCAATGTCTTTGCTGTCCAGGTCTTCTTCATCGTTTTCCGCGAGTGTCTCGAAGCGGTGATTATTGTTTCGGTGCTCCTCGCCTTCCTCAAACAGAGTCTGGGCCAGCCACACCAGGACCAGGGCATCTACAAACGGCTGGTGCGGCAAGTATGGGCAGGCTCGATAACCGGCATAGTCTGCTGCTTGATTATCGGTGGCGCGTTCATCGGTGTCTTCTACGGGTTGGGCCATGATATTTGGTCCAACGCCGAAGATCTCTGGGAGGGTATTTTCTACCTGATCGCAACCGTCATCGTAACCGTCATGGGTCTGGCTCTGCTACGCATCAACAAGACCAAAGAGCAGTGGCGCATCAAAATCGCCAAGGCGCTCGTTGAGAAGAGCAAGCACCATCGAAAGTCCAAGTGGCTCGGGGACTGGGCCCGTCGCTACGCCATGTTCCTCCTTCCATTCATCACTACCATGCGTGAGGGTGTCGAAGCGGTTGTCTTCGTCGGTGGCGTCTCGCTCGGCTACCCGGCTACTGCCTTCCCTTTGCCCGTCTTCACCGGTATGCTGGCCGGGTTGACCTGTGGTTACCTCATTTACCGCGGTGGTAATGTGATGTCCATCCAGCTCTTCCTCATTGCTTCGACCTGTGTGCTGTACCTGATTGCAGCGGGAATGTTCTCCAAATCGATCTGGGATTTGCAATACTACGAGTATCAGAAGGGGGTGGGATCCGATGTCGCCGAAGAGGGCAGCGGAGCGGGCTCGTACAACATCCTCCAGACGGTCTGGCACGTCAACTGCTGCAACGCAGAGACCGACAACGGGTGGGATGTCTTCAACGCGATTCTCGGGTGGGAGAACACCGGCACGTACGGTTCCATCATCTCGTACAACGTCTACTGGATCTTCATCATGCTGTGCGTGGCCTACATGCTGTGGGAGGAGCGCTCGGGCAAGCGGTCCCTGCGCGAGCGCATCCTGATCGGGCTGGCCAAGGTGCCGGGTCTCAAATGGTACGCCAAGCCCAAGCTTGCGGCCCTGCAGGAGAACGGAGAGGACATTGTGCGCCAGGTGCACAGTGGGCTGTTCAACGAGGAGGCCGTGGTGGAGCAGCAGATGGTGGAGATGAAGTGAGCAGCGGTGTGCGACAAGGATCGGAGAGAGGTGGAAAAAAAGTAAAGATCAACTTCGATGGCAGATCGGACACCGCGTCCGTTGTTCTGGTTGATCGACTGGTTCTGTGTTTTGTTGTTTTCTGCTGTCAGAACATTCATCTATGTCAAATTACGCTCGGCTACCTGCTTGTCATCAGATAATCTTAATTGAATGAGTCATACTTTGCGAGAACAGACCTGATCCGACTTGACGCCCGAGCTATGTGTACGAGATAGCCACCCATAGTACTTTTTTTTTTCTTGTTTGGAGATTGCAGTGTGTACAGCCTGCAGTAGTAGTGGGTCGCCAAGATGAGCTTCAGTGCGGATGTGGGGATTCTTGGCAGCTTTTTTTTTCTCTTCTGTTCTCGCAAGCTCCTACCCTTTCCGCTCAGACGGGACTCGAACCTCCACTTCATCATCGGCAGTTCCTCCGAGCTCGACACTTTGCCTTGAGTCAGGCGTCCTTTGAGCATGCATTTGTCGGCGGTTCATTCCTGAACAGGCCTAACAGCCAAGACCTACCTCAAGCATCTACCGCGAAATGTGCTTCTTGGACTACCGTGCATGCCAAGGAAATCCGCGACCTGCATCCGAGGACTAATCTCCGTCTCGGTTGTATATGAGTGAACAGGAACCGTACTGGCCTGCACAGAGTTTTCTTCTGTTTTTGCTGGTAGTTAGACCAGAAGGCCAAGACTTACCGGGCCATACTTGCATACGCACATTTATCCACTATACCGTTTATCGTTGGCCTCGCTTCCTTGCCGAGTAACTTCACTTGACTTGCGTTCATCTTGTCGCCCGACCAGATCCAGTAATAGCCGAAGACGAGATCATTCTGGCCATCGGGCAATTTCCGCAGTATTACTTGCTCGACGCATCGCAAGGATGCCGCTCGTTCTAGGAGCCTTGTTTCTCTTGAATTCCACTCAATATGTCGATATGAGATCGTGTGTCGGAAGTTCGGGCATCGGAAGTTCGGCCGTCCGAAAGTGGCAACCTGTCGTGCTTCTGATTGATACACAATTGATTATCAATCTTATAAATCGTGGCAATCTAATCTGACCATCTGATTTGGGCATCTTAGGTTACGGCAATGTCCGCGTGTGACTGTCAGAGTCTTCCTGCCCACCGACGATCGCAGGCAAAATCGACGGCGGGACCCGGATGCCATATCGCCTTCTTCGAGGTGGGTCTGCACGAAAGAGCATGCTTCGAGGCATGCCATGCTTGCTCGGCGGTGGTAGCGTGATACAGTAGACTTGCAGTCGAATTAGGCTTACCCTGTAATTCTCTGGTGTTGTTGTTGTAAAGCATGCAAATGCCAAGGTGAGCCTCGTGTGCAGTGATGTGGGGGTATTCGCAAACTCCTACCGTTTCGGCCTCGGATCGGGCCTGGGGTCCCACTTTCATGGTCGGGAATTGTTCCGAGCACCGAGTTGAGTTGAGGAGGGATGGTTGAGAAGGACCCGCGGTGTCTGAATCTTTTGTGGTCCAATACCTTCGGTCCAGCAGGTTGGCATACACTTTCTAGGTAATGAGAACTGAGTCAGTGGTATTGTGCCGTCCTACTAACTGGTCGCATGCCAGTCAACAACTCGCATCTTGCCAAGAGTTACGCCCTCGTACTATTTATCTCGCCAGGTACATGCACACCAAAAGCAGTCCCGTGCGGGGGGCAGTCAATGGTCTCAAGAGGGAGTTAGTGGAGTGGTTTAGTGACCCTAGTGGATGTTGTTTTGGTACATCAGTCAAGTTGCACCAGGCGGGTACAGCCAGGCTGATTCTTGAAGAAATGACCCAAGCAGCAAAATGCGGCAACTACTTTAGACAAGACAGCCAGGAGACACAAAAATGCATGGGATGCAGGATCAAAAACAAAAACATACAACAGAAGGGATTCGCTGGTGGTCACCCACCCAACTACTAACCTCCCGGCGTGTGGCTTAAGTACGGCTGAGCGGACGGGAAGCCCTGTTTTCCACACCCTGTGGTCGTATGTGCTAGTCATTATCATTATGCGAAACATCAATCCAACTAATCATGTACTTTCTATCTCATGAGAAAACTCGAAAAGATGGACCTTGGATGCACAGGGTCCATGCGCAGTTTGAAATGCGACACCACCTTCGACAGACCACTAAGCTCCCACATGAGTATACAAAGCCCAAGCCAATGGGTTCTGCCAGTACTGCCTTCTAATACGCAGTGTTGCATCGCGAACCGCCTCCGCCACCGCGCGATTGGGATCAGTGGCCGTGACACGTCGCGCAATCAGCGCCTCGTAGAAGTATGTGGCCATGTGCACACAAACCTCGTCCTCTGCCGGCCACAGGGACCCAATAACATGTGAGAAGCCCGCGATCAGAAAACCGCTGGTAATATGTAGCCCCTCGTCCAGCAGCCTTCTATCGCGGATCTCGGCCGTGGAGCAGGCGGACAGATAGGCAATCCACGCCCGTGACATCGCGTGCGTGTCCAGAAGCTTAGAGACAGTAAGCTTGTCGACAACCAGACCAGACTCACTTCCTCTTTGCAGAAGCAGATGGCTGTTGGCCGGATCGCCAGGGTCGGAGTACCCGTGGCAGGCGAAGTGCACAAGCTCTGACTCCTGCAGCTGAGAAAGGACCTCGTCGGTGGAGGGACCAATCAGTTGCTTAATGTCCATAGCTCCACCCACAGCGTCGATGATACCCTGCGCCTCGTGGCGAACCCCGTGTAGCGCACCATGGCCGGGGGTCTCTGGCATGGTGGCGATAAGTAGAGAGGGTCTCTCCATCGTCACCCGGCGTGATGCCTGTTGCGCCGCCGCCTTGGCACGCACTGCATGGAGGGCCTTGATGGTCGGCGTGTACGAGGAAATCACCTGGTCGAGACAGCTCTCGCCGTCGAGTCCCGGACCTTGGCTGTAGTCTCCGGCGGCATGGAAAGGCAGCCCACCGGCCGCCCCGGTGCCAATCCACCAAACTCGACTCTTCTCTTGGCCAGTGGAGATATGGCCACCGGAGGCCAGAGAGCTCAGAATCGGCTTCACACAGGTGTACCACAGCCAGGAGAGAAGATCGTTGTCATATGCCTCCGGCGGCAAGTCACTCTCCAGGTCCCTTGAACTAGGGGCTTTTCCGCAACTCCAGGAATCGCCATGCAACCCAGCCATCTCGCGTCTCATGAGGCGCTCGCGGAATTTGTCCACCGCCCGAGTAATCATGGTATCCAGTCTGTGATGGCCGACTATGCTCGGCGAGAGGATGAATATGGCATCGGCATTGGTGCACGTGATATTGACGACGATAATCGGGCCCTCGCGGGCACAGTCGACCAGCTGACGGATGTTCAAGGGCTGGAGAAACCCTTCGAAGCCGGCTTTCGCGCGGATGCGTCGCTCACACTGCTGCAGCTCCTGGAACACCCTGCGGCGCTCATTCAGTAGCCGAGTCTGCCGCGTCTCCCATTTGTCGCGCTTCAGGCTGTCGAAAGCCTGGTGACGCAGCATGTCATATTGCTGAGCTAGGTCCGGATGCGCCTGCTGCAGGTCCGTGAGATCGCTCTGGCTGTTAAAAAGATCTCCCATTACGATCCCCCGACCGATCTCCAGTTTCAATAGTGCCTCCATGGGTGGCTTCAACATGAGGATGGCAGCAGAGACATCGCTGGCGAGAGTGGATATTCCTTGCAACGTGTAGATCTTGTCCTCATTGCTCAGATCACGGCCGGTGACCAGAGGCAGCAATGGAAAGATCCGTTCTGCAGTCTCCAATGCCATCTCCCAGTTTCCCCAGTGGTTGGCTTTACGAACAATGCTCGCAGCGCTTAACACACGCGCGCCCGGTAGAGTTCTGTCCGAGGCAGAGCTTTGTAGGAGATAGCGCATACCCTTGGCGATAGCCGTACCATCACTGACCCTAGTCTCAAACCCCTTTGCCAGCCACATCTCCCCACTCCAGCGAAGTTCGTCTCCATTCCCGCCTCCCCGTAGATTGCCAAAATGTGAATTCTCCTCCTGTGACTTAAGGGCATGCTCAAGATCGGCTGGGTGATTAGTGAACTGATATAAATTCCAGTAGTGCCAAGTGATGAATCCTAGCAGACTTCTCTTTGCAGGATTGCTGACGCGCTCAAACCACGTTCTGCGTAGGGAGTCACATTTCTCAACGGCGGTCCTCAGCAAAGCTTCTCTTCGATGGGACTCGGTTGGCAACATGGCCAGAAATTCAGCCTTCATGATGACGACCCGATCGCGAACCAGGGTGTTGGGCGGAGCTGCACGCAATGCTTTTTTCATCTGGTCACAAGCAGCCATCAACTCCGCAGTATTTGTACTTCTCAGCCCCATTTTTCTGTGCATGTGACCCAGATGCACGTACGCCTCCGCAGACCACTCACTAACGTCGTTCGCAGGCAATGTCGACACATGGTCTTTTGCCCTCGCAAGCGCTAGTTCGAGATCTTTGGTATCCCCAGTTCGCTCCCACCGTGCGTAGTACTGGTGAGACAAGAATTTGAGCAACGTCTGATATCTTCGAGGTTGAGCTGGGGTGGGGCTGAGAGCTTCTTCCATTTGTTTCAGTACCATATCGCGGTCCTCACTGCTGCTCGTCTCGTCATACTCCATCCGTTGACCTCCGTAGATGGCCCTTTGAACGGAACCGTCTGGAAAGGTCGATTCGAGTTCCTTATATAGCGTACACAGTTTCTGGAGATCATCCTCACTGCCTGTCTCTTGATAATGAGATAGATATGCCACGGCGAAACTCTGCAAATACCCTTGCCGTTGAGAGAAGTCCAGAGGAAGAGGAAGCACCTTCTCCAGATCGCTGATGGCAAGCTCTAGGTCCGCGCGGTCATGGAAATCCTTCCATCGGTCGAGCAAGGCTAACACAAGACGTGCTCGATACACTTGATTTCCAGTGTCCAGTTCCATTGCTAGGCGATGAAGACTGAGTGATTTCTCGATGTCCTCCTTTCTCGAACTTCTCTTGTAGCGGAACATGTATCCAAAACCGATGCTTGAAAGGACGTTGGGCTTGCGAGGGTCATCCGGAGATATATGTGCCAAGCCAGCCTCTAATCGAGAGATCTGTTCATTTTCCTGTTGCTCGGTGGTCGCGTCGTCCTTCTCGGCGGAACTGTCTGGTTCATATTGCGTCGAAATCTGAACAGAAGATGTATGTTCTGTTTCTACTGAATCCTCCTCCACGTCCGGAGGGTTGAATACCACTGTGCCTGAGGTGCTACGACTCCGAGCACTGTGCCTTGCGAGAGGCTCGCCATCTCGCACATTTACGATGTTGTTTATGGCTTTGTGCCAGTCGACGTTCGCGATGCTACCTGTCCCTGTGGTCAACCCCTCCACGTCGTTCGAGGGAAGTAGCGAATCTCTCTCCACACGCTGTGGCAGATGGCCCGACTGATTGCTGCTTAGCACACTTGCGCTTTAGTCAAATGCATCTCTATCACTGGGACTTACGTTGGTCGACACCATGACGCTAGCCTGGTTGACATAATTGACCCATCCAGGGAACTGATATAAGATTAGCACCATTTTCGACACTGTCACGCCGCATTTAAACCATGCCTTTGTTCGTGCCCAGATCACCACTCGATCGCCTTCCTCCAGCAGTGAAACAAAAGAATCCACTGCCTCACCGCCGTCTTTTCGGTATATGAACACCTGTTCGTTCCAACTCCGGCTCATGCTGGTTTTGGGTAGCGCCATACTAATTCTCGAGCTTGAGGCAGCTATCTCGGAGGGTATTTCCTTGAAGTATAGTCCCTGTTGTTGCAGAAGCTCGCCAAAATTGTCCGGGCATGCCTGGATATACGCCGGGTTCATCAAATGACCCAGGTCAGGCATTGCATTCTCCTGCCATGAGCCCAAGATAGAGACCTCGAACCAGGACCAGATACCACCCTGTGGGTTACTGCACCATCCTTGGTTGCGGGTCGTGATATTGAATACAACGGTAGAAACATTGCTCGGCAGTGGAGAGGAGACAAGGTAAAGCACGGTGCAACTCTGGCCAGAAGTATGATGAGGGTGCCAGGGTGGCACGACATACAGCTGTTTTCTAGTGCCGGTGATCTGAAGACCTGCGAAATGGGATGACAAACTCATTTTGAGAAGTCAAGAGTATCCTTGAGGTGGTTTTAGGGTTGCTAGAAAGCGAGCAAGACTGGGGCCGGGCCTTTAATGCGGGTACCACGTGACGTGACCTGTACTCTCACCCCTCATCTGCTTATGTTCATCCAAATCACCACCTGCACACGAAAATGCCGGTAGCCTATCTGCAGTGTGGCTGAGTCTGTCAGAATTATCTGTCACTTGTCGCAAGGCTCAGCCACTAGCAGGTTTCTGTTATAATTGCACGCCTGGTGCACGCAGCCGTCAGCATAGCCGCCCGGTGAGTGTCTTACTAGCCACCCTTAGTGCCAGATGGCACAGGACATTGACCAATCAGTCTGTGCATGCATGTTTGCTTTTCTTAATCTTTTGGGGGCAGAAGCAGGGATCTCAGCCACTGATGATGACATCGTAACTGCTGGTCAGTCACAGCACAAAATTACACCGTGCAGCCTCGATTCCCTCTCAACATATTTACAACTCACCCGCGCATACTCTGAGCTCTACATCCGTACCATTAAGATTGGACACTATCTACAATACCTTGATCTCTCTCGACCGATGACGACGCCGGCAAAGAGAGCGCTGATCATTACCAGCCCCTGGGGAGACCTTCGAGGCACTCAAAATGACAGAGACTGCATGCAGTCGGTGCTAGCCAAATATGGTTTTCAGGTCGCTCATTGTCACGGTGCCCAGGCCACCCGTACCGGCATTCTAGAGGCATGGAAGCAGCTCATCTCGGAGACGGGGGATGGGGACTCCGTTGCCATTTACTACTCAGGACATGGGGGTCTCGTGGAATCGGCACCCAACACTGAAAATGCAAGGGAGTGGCGTTACCAGTTTCTCGTCCCTGTGGACTTCGACGATGTCAATTCGAGTGGTTTTAATGGAATCCTTGACGTGGAACTCTCGCAGCTGCTCCGCGCGACCACTGCGCGCACCCGAAACGTGACCGTCATTCTCGACTGCTGTTTCTCGGGGCGAATGGTTCGAGCACCCGGGTACGGGGACGCAGCGAGGCCCAAGCAGGTGCCTTCCGTACGCTATGAGGATGTCGCCGAGTTTGTGACGCACCGAGTGGAGCGTGTCACGACGGAGATGGGAGAAGCCTCCAGCATTGGCGATGACAACCCGGATGCGGTCCGTATAGTCGCAGCTGCTCCTTCCGAAACAGCATGGGAAGTTCGAGGCGAAGATGGGAGGTGGATGGGGTCTTTTACCTCGGCGCTTGCTCAATTTCTGACTGAGGCGCACGGTCATCAACTGTCTTGGAGAACAAGCATCTTACGAGTCCAGGAATTGGTCCAGGCACAGTTTCCGACCCAGCATCCGCGGGTGGAGGGTCCGCATACGCGCATCCACTTTTCACTTGACGAGGTCAATTCAGAAGCCATCCACCTGAAGATTGAGAATGGTTTACCCGTGCTCCAGGCTGGTTTTGTCGCTGGTGTATCAGAAGGTGATGTGTATGCCGTGACGCGCCTGACTTCGGAGCGGTTCACGGAGGAACAGCAAATAGCTGTGTGTGAGGTTATCAACGTTCAAGCCTTTCAAGCTTTGGTGCAATTGCACTATCCAAGTTCGACTCCAACGCAACAGGTTCCACGGGAAGGGGCTCTAGCCTTTTTGCAA